AGGGAAGGGAAGGGAAGGGAAGGGAAGGGAAGGGAAGGGAAGGGAAGGGAAGATACACCCTGTGGGTGGTCCTGGGACCTATCTACCTACCTACCTACCTACCTACCTACCTACCCTCCTTCCCTCCTTCCCTCCTTCCCTCCTTCCATCCATCCATCCATCCATCCATCCATCCATCCATCCGTCTCTCCACCCTGCCCCTGGAGCCCTTGGCTTTGAATGCAATTCAATTACGCTAAATTGCCACACGCAGCTATTCCTTTTTCCCCTGTCTGTGTGAAAAGCTTCTCCATCTCAATTCTGTTCAAGTCTTAAAAGCCTTGCCATTCCATTCATGTGGTTGACCTTGGGACAAAGCCACGCCCTTGCACATTAAAACATGACTTGAAAGTGGTCCCCATGGTTGCAGGTCAGCCTTTTGTATTAGAGAAAGTGGAGGCATCTTGCTCTGGCTAAGGAGAGAAACAATGTTCAGGGCTGACTAACCAATGGGAAACTCAGCACTTAGAGCAAAACAGACCGAATGAACACTTTAGACTAGGCAGAACATGTCTATGGACCAGGAAGTCCATAGGTTTCTTTCTCTGCCTAAGAAACTTCAACTAAACCACCTTCAAAAAGCAGAATCTTGCTTCATCTGTTACTCCTAGCAGCACAGGAGAGGTTTGGGAGAAGAACTTGTCTGACAAGATTGTTTTCCCACCAGCTCCTCCAGCTGTTTGCTATGCAAGCAGTCAAGCTACACCACCTGACCTGCCTCTACAACCTTCACGCAAAGCTGCACTAGACAAACTGTCTGTCAGGTTTGTTTACTAGCGGGATCCGAGGGTGGCCTCCTCCCTGTTCCTCCCTTGCAAATGAGACAGGGCAGATTTGGTTTTGCTAGGTAAGAAGAATATCCCCAAAGTGATGGCGCACCTGGAAATTCTCTCCTACTTCCTGTGCACACTTATGCACCCAAATGGACTTCTGTAATAGAAGATCATGACTTGAGGCCTCAGAACCATATGGAGACCCCAAAACCTTGACCTTCCAAAAGTTGTTACCCAACTGCAATTGTAAACATTATAGGAGGAGAATCATTAAATGTGTGGCTGGAGAGAGGAAACATACCTATGTCCATTTTAATTAAATGAAACCAAATTTAGTTTCTATCTTGCCCCATCCATTATTTTTGAAGAGCGGCCCCTGATCTGCTGTTCAGGTCAGGTGCAATCTTGAAAAAGTTGAAACTCATACTTACAATATGAGTACAGAATAAATTCACTGAAATCAAGTACAGAAAGAACAATGGTGG